ACATTTTAGGACCTCCAATTTTTTGGGACAGTGTCTTTCTCTATATATCAGTCTATCTTTTGTGAATTTTCTTGACCTCCTTTTATCCTCACACGGGGTGTATTCGCTGTACGTGATGTTGCACGGGGGATACACCCGTGTTTGGGCCGGGCTTGAAGTGGATAGTTCGTGGTCCGCTGTGTGGTGGGCAACGAAGTCTAGTGAGCCCGACCCGTATATGTTGTTGAAAGTGGTGGTAATACACGTTGTAGCGGTGGCAGGGCCACGACCACGGCCCTGCAATATTGCTAGGAGGTAGGAAAAGGAGCATAGGAAAACAATGGAAATTAAAGTGAGTATGTTGTGTTTATTGGTGTTTTTGATTATTTTGTTCCAATATGAGGATGAGGAAGAAGGTTTTGAAGTGGGGTGGTGTGGTGAGTCTAAACCTCCCATGTTTTTTTTGGGTGTTTGGATTTTGTTATATAAGATTTCTCTACTAGTGAGAGTATTTATTGGTGAAGGGAGTGAAGAAGAAAATGTTGAAATAAAATTGAGATTATATATTGATTTATGTGGTTATATATTAAGTAAAATCTCCTTTCAAAAAAAAAAAAAAAAAAAAAAATGTAATATCTTGTGATGGTTAGTTTAAGGGAATTTGGTTATATATTAAGTAAAAATCTAGCTTATAGGTTTTTGGAAAATGGTGAAAAGGTGTATTAATTTTTTGTGTGTTTTCAATTTGTGGGTGAGTTTTATGTGATGTTGATAGCTTTTAAGGGGAAAATAAAACATTACTCGTAAAGTTGTATCTATCGATATACGTATTACTAGTAAAATGCTACTCCATTCAATAAATGTTTAAAATTTGAAATAATAGGAGAAAACATTCATCTTAATTTAATGCAAAATATTACGAAATACATTCACTTTTAACGTTTTTGTATGATTCATACATTATTACGGATTAATTATTAATAACACTCCATACCTAGTTGACACAAATGAATTTTTATAAACAAAATTATAAAGTGTATAGAATTAGAGAAAAGATAAATACTTTAATAGAGTATTAGCAAAATTTGGTTTTGATAAGCGAAAATCTTGGGTGATTGGTCGGAGGTTGAAGGAAACCCGATTTTCTGAGCTTATCAATTTTTTCCTTGTTTTAAATATAAGTGAAAGTTGTATGATGATTGATGATGGATTCTAATAGATTAATTATATAAATTAAAAGTTAGATAGAAAAGGTAGTAAGTGGATTTTGACCATTATGTGTTAGATAAGAAAGTACTTGTAAATTAGAAATGCATTGTAGGATTGTAATCAAATAGAGAGTAAATAAAAATGGGCGATAATATAATGTGTAATCAATAAAAAAGAAATGAAGACAGTACGTAGTAATAAAGGTAAAGTCTTCAAGTATTGTATTAAGAAGATTGGGCTAAGTTTGGATTGATAAATAGAGCTTAAAAGTGCATATTATATGTGTCGTCCCTTTTTAGCTTTTATGCATGACTGTGTATGCCTATCTTTTCATAGGTTTCTTCGCATAGTAATCTTGCATAGATAGTCCATATACATTAGGTTAATTTAATTGACTTGTTAATATAGATTTGCTCTATAAACACTTAGTACAAGTGTACAACTATTCATCTATCTAGCCAGTAGCCAAGGCCCAAGTAACCATCTAGTGTGAAGACTGTAAGAATTGATGATGCTCAAAAAATTAACACAGTAACTTATTATGAGACTGTAATGACTTTTTCTAAAATGTGATAATTTTATATTTCTCACTTTCAAATAACTCTTAGCAAGATTTGATCTTGCTATTAAATGAACAGTCATGAAACCAATTAATTAAACGGTATGTAATTACCGAGTCAAATATTGACTGACTTTTATTATCTTTAAGTACTGCAATATCATACATATGAATGGCTTGTTTTAATATTGTTTGAGATCGTATAATTATTTATGCCACGCGTAATTAGTGTTTGAATAAGGCCAGTAAGTACTACTCCGTAAGCAAGTACTCATACCTACGTTATTCTTAAAAAATAAAGTCACTCTTGCCCACTACCTTGCATTGCTTGAATTGTCAATCAATTGTATGTACATTATATTAATTGCATGCATGCATGACTTGTAATCACATATAAACCCATCACATGATTACATAGGACCATATATACGTCCATATATACATAGGAGCATAGGACTAGCTAGCCTCGGCGAAATATAGTGGATCATAGGAAGTATAGAGCTGGCAAATGTTAAAAGGATTAGTAATTGAACAAACACCATCATTTATTCCAAACTTACAATTAAGAGCTGATTTGACAATTATAAGCTCCTTGCTTAATTATTTATGAGTTGATTTTGGACAAATTATCATTTAATTAGATTATATTCATTATGGGTACCTTTTTATTATGCTTTTTTTGTTTAACAACCTTAAATTATATACACACTATACATTACTTTATTATCCTTTTTTTAATTACTACGGAGTACTTCCTAATATATTGTTGGAGTATACTTTTCAATCTATTCTATATTTCTAATCTTTATTTAGTTATTGTGAAATAAATAGTAGTGCAAAATGGTGATAAACTTGTAATACGCCTTAAATCGCCCAATTTGCTAAGGTATTGTGTGTTTGGGCCTATTTTCAGCTAATTTCGTTTTCTATTTTGAGAATCCGGCCTATATAAACTAACTCATGCAGGCATGCAGCTAAGATTTAACCTAACCACTATTTTGTAATATGTATTTTTCTCAAGATACATAAAACTCTCATCTCACCTACACATAGACGTAGCTAATTAATCGTCAGTGAACCACGTAAATCTGTATTCTTATTTTTGTTGATTTCACAAATCTTTCTTGTATCAGTTATAATAGAAGTATGTCATTGTAACAATTATGATGTAAAATGGGAATATTGTTATTACACTGATTAAGAAACTAGAAGCAAGGAACAGCAGAACACCCTTACTCGGAGTACCTACAAAGAGTCAAAGAAAAACAAGTGGCTAAACTGAAAGACATGAGACATGACAATCCAACATGGAATGTAAACGTGCATGAAACAAAAGAAGTGGCTCCCGCATGTTTCTCCAAACCCATATACTAGTAAAATTTAATTGATCGATCAACTTGTAAGTTGTAACTATACATCAGAAAACATAGAGATGAAAATTATAGCTTGAATGAAAATGACTATTCTAATTCAGTTAATTAAAAATACAATATAGTATTTATATGGTTTCTTTATTTTCCTAGTTGAGAGACATCATTATGGGAGATTAATTTAATTTACTATATTTAAACACTATACTACTTCACTTCCTCATTATATTCTATGGAGTTTTTCATGTTCATTGTGTCGTGTTTAATTTGTTTAATATTGATATTCTCAATCAATTTTTATATTTTCTATTGATATTAGAGGCTGCACAATATACAACATGAAGATCTTTACAGAAAAAGGAGGAATTATTTTAGTTCATAGAGTTTTGGACCATGAGTAGTACTTAGTATTAGAAGATAATCTTCCACTTATCTTTTGTTATCTTTTCCTTATTAAAATATTCTGTTGTAATCTTCTTAGTCAATGTATCTCTTTTACCTCCAGTAATTCTGTTGTAATTTAGCCATAATTCTAGGCATAGTATCAGCTAATTGACGTTCTATATTTGTTAATATTGTATATATATATATATATATACAGCAATACAAGCTTGTATAATCATTCAATAAAAATTATAAACTTCATATTTCTTATACTTAGGACTTAGGAGTATCTTGTTAGTTGTAGCTAGAATATTTAAAGCTCAAACTACATACTGAAGTGAAACCATGACCTTTATAGTTTTATTTTCTTGTCAACTTTAGTAAGGTCTTGATAAACATGGTGCATGGATTTGTGAACGATAAAAAACAAGGGCAAAAAACAACGAACTTATATGGTTGGCAATCTTGGCATAAAGTTAGCTAAGACGATAATGTTAACAATTGGGCTAAAATCAAGTTGCTGCTGATAATAAGGAATGACAATAGTTTATGGGCCCATTCCTATTATTAGAAAGTCTAATTTCCAAACTTATGTAAAGTAATTATGTAACCACTCCACTTTGGACCTCCTTCACTTTGACTCATTAGCTCTTGCATAATTAAAGATTAATATTACGATTCTATGCTGAAGAACAGCATGGATGTTGGTGATGTAGTTTTTTTTGAATAAAGATTGATTCATAAATAAAAAACCATACGAAATTTATAAAGAGATTTAAATTTAATAAATACATGATAATTGAATCAAATAAAAGCTTCCTTTTAGCAGAATTACGATCGTTGTTGCAAATCATACATTCTTCATACCCTCTTTTATATCGCTGTGATTTACAGCCTTTTTCGACGAGGGGGTCTATCGATCTGTTGTAGTCGTGAAGAAAATTTTCATCTGATTGTACTCAAAGTATTAACCTCTTTTTCGATCCCGCACAAATCTTTACCCATGAAACAACTTGTACTAAACTCAAAAAACAAATACAAAAACAAAATTAGAACAAAGCCCACCATAGGGGCACTTTCTACACTCAAACTCACTATATGAGTACTTATTACTTCAAAGAGTGTAGATTTATTGAATTTAATAACAAAAACATAAAGGAACCAAAGGGAAAGGGCCGAAAATAGCCAAATTTCCGGAGAAATTTGACTATTTTCAGCCTATGAAACACTAAAAAATAGAGAGAAGACGGCTAGAATTTTTTTTATTGGTGATGTAGTTTCAAAACTTTATTAATTTAAGTTAAATCCAATGTAAACAACATCAATGGTGTACCAATATTACAACTTAATTCCTTCGTTGCACTAAATTTTTCACGTGATCTTGTTAAATTCATTTCAAGTTTAATATTCTAACAGTCAACCTTGTTATACTTTCAAGTGTCAATTAAAGACCTGAAATTCAAAGCAAAATTTTTCAAGGAGCATTCCAATTTGTATAGTTTTAGACAACTAAACATTTGAGCTTATTTATACAAACCAACTACAAGCCTATTAGCAGTACTTAGAAGTATAATAATACAAGTAACTAGAATGTTTGCCCTCTAGTTTATCTAAAGTTGGGCCATCATCGATGCCCATTTAAGAGGATGACTTGGGTTGAAACCTTGATTAAGCTTGACCAAACCCTATTGAGTAATTTGACAATACTAGTGCTTCATACTTCATAGTAGGCACACTTATTAAAGTAATAAGAGAGAACAAAGTTCTTTTACAACTTTAACCTGATTACATTCATAGTAGGTTACTACATCAACAATTGAGCGGATGATTCTCAGAATTAATCTACAATTGAACACATGAACCTTCAAAAAGGGCTAAATACAAGCTATTGTCGCTACAACTTCAAGCAGTCTCACTCAAAGGCAGGGATAGAAAAAAGTTGTCAGGCCGATTCTACAAAGGCATTGTCACGAACTCACGATCACAACCACTCTTTAGGATTGATGCAAGCATCCAACAATTTCCACTCTTCACTGCCTTCTTCTGGCTTCTGTAAACACCAGTGTGGCAAGAAATGGTAATATAAGTGATTATGCATATAATAATAATATTGCAATGTGTCAGTTCTCAAATTGCTTTCTACTCCCTTCGTCTCAGCTCAAAGCTAACATTCCACGTAGCATTCTACCTCTCGTATCTTTCTCCAAGCTCATTTCTGTGCCCTAAAGCAATGTTAACTTTGAGCTGGGACTGAAAGAGGGGGATAACTCATAAGGCTTCATAGTACAAGGATCACAGGGGGCTACGAAAAGGCTTACATGGTCATATTCCCATCGAGCAGTCAGAGGAAGTGAGACCAGAATGCTCTCTATACGACCACCAGTTTTCAGACCGAATGTTGTTCCTCTATCATAGACCTATAAACCCATCAAATAATACAAGTGAGCCCATTGCAAAGAAACTAGGAGTAAATTTCTACCCTTCAAAGCTATTTTCATACCAAATTGAACTCTACATAACGTCCCCGTCGTAACTGCTGCCATTCCTTGTTTTTATCAGTGAAAGGTGTATCTTTCCTTTTCTCTATGATGGGTAGATATGCAGGTATCACAGAGTTTGCACATTCTGCAAAGTTAAGTAAAAGCATCACAAAAGTTAAAAACATACCTGGAATGCTGGAAAGCAAGAATAAACTGTTATATAAAGATTACAAGAGGATTCACTGTTTATACGTACCAGTGGCAAAAGAAAGAAGCATCTCTTGATCATAGTCATTTAGATCGTCAAAAAAGATTCCACCAAGCCCTCTCCGTTCACCTCGGTGCTGTTGAAAAATGCTAATGAATATATCCTTACCATAAATAACTGTAACAATGTTTACTAAATCACATATCAAGTACATAAACTACATTTCAGAATGCACACTCAGATCAGTAGATAGAAAGATAAAAACAAACTCCAACAACATACTGATAAAAAAAACAGATGTATGAGATACAAATATCCGATAATCAGTTAAAAAAAGAAGCAAGCATGAAAGAGCTAACATTTTATTTTCTATAATGGTGGAGCTCTAGTTCTTTATCACAAGCATCGGCAACATGATTCCATCAAACAAAAATTAAAAAAATATATATATATATATTTGAAGAATTGTAGAAAAAAGTAGGAGATGAAAATCTTCTGATCCGTAGGGCTTTTAATAACCCTGGTTAGTGAATCGGCCCGCTCAAACTACAGCTCTCAGGTAAGTTAGCAAGTGGAAGAGTGGAAAACGTGATAACTGGGAAGCCATTTGAGTATTCACCTCTTTTTATTTTAAAGGTTCAATAAGGGCCGTAGCAATTTACTATCTCCATCTTAAAACATAAGGCATTTTAGTCACTTTTGCAAATTAGCAAGTTCGCAACTATTTAATTCTTTACCTTGATATGATAAAATGGCTTTTATTGTTGTATTGTTATTGTAAATTGACTTATAATTTAGAGCAATAGGATGGGGCTGATGGGCTAAAATGACTCACATTTGAAAATGAAGTAGTCTCAGAAAGCTTACTGTAGCCTTAAATCTGTGTAAATATATATATGGATACATAAGATGCAGATTGTAGACACATCAAGCTATCATAAGTTTCTCAATTGAATCTAGTAGACCGTCTAAGTATTCTTATACTCCATACAATAGAGCAGACATGGGTAGAGCTTGGCACGTCAGTAAATATGCCAGACAAAGGAAAGAAATTCGTTCATGTTGTTCATCACTAAAACCCAAATGAACCTGGAAGATACTACAAGTATCCTGATACTCCATACAAGAGAGCAGACATGGGTAGAGTATGGCACATCAGTAAATTGGCAAGACAAAGCAAAAAAATTCTCCCAATTCAACTAAGCAAGGTTTCTTAAAATGAAATTCTCCATCCACTCTTGAAGAAAGTACAAAATAGGCATGCACATCAGCACATGGAAGATTACGCACCCGAGGACAGTAAAATATGAACATCATATAAGAAACAAACCTTGATGTAAAAGTAATCATCACACCATTTCTTGAAACGTGGATAGAAGCTAGGATCAAATTTATCACAAGCATCTTTTTGGACCTACAAAGTCAGCCAAATGTCAGCATAATATGATAGTTAAGGTGAAGCCTTCACACGATATCAGTACAGCAATAACATCAAACATGTAAGTATTTTTAGCAAACAGTACTATATGATTTGTTTGTCACAAACACAGCTAATAAATATAGCCAGCAACATTTCTTGTCAACCCAAGAAGCAAGCATATACCATCATTCTGTTAAGCACGTATGGCCAACCACAAATTAGAAAACAGAAAGTGTTCAATAGTTTTATTCGAAAAATAAAAGTAGCAAGGTGTACATGATAGAAATGCAGGGGACAGAGGTATTATACTTTGCAGCATAAGAATGACCAGCAGGTTCAAAATATAGATTCTTCATTTAAAAAAACTTGACATGATGAGATTTTTCTAGACTACTAAGGCGATGTTCTCTTCACCTAAAATTAAGTGACGCAACATAAAAATTATATAAACACCAGCTTCACATCATAAATTGACAAAGATTTCTAGCCCTTAATTGGAGCAAATACCTGATGGAAGTGCTTAACATCTTCCTCAAAAATGTAGGCAGGAGTAAAGTCAGTACCACCACCAAACCACCATTGTCGAGGTGCTCCAGGAACATCTGTACATTTAGAACAACATTTGTTTGAGAGCACTAACCAGACAATGTCTAAAACTAAAAATTACAAGCCATAAAGCATAACAAAGCTTTGCATCAAGCTTCTAAGATCATATTCTCTGCTCTTTCCTTTGAATTAGAAAGAATTCTTTCGCACAATTTCACAACAGAAACTACTCTCGAAGCTACAATTTCTTACTTTAGCAAGAGAACTATTTGAAAATTTTAATGGGCCTCCCAACACCCAGCTAACCCATGAAGATCATTAAGGTCAGAAACCCTGCCACCATTCTACCTCTTATCACAAAACAGTGATCACAGCAAAAGCAGAATGATAGATTTTATAGACAATTAGCAATGAAGCACTGGCTTTAAGTAGTGATACTACAGAATGGGTCATGGCCATGTTACACTTCGCAAAAGCAAAAAAAGGTTAATTGAAACTTGAAAGTCATGAAGCAAAATATCAGCAACACAACTATAACTTTTGCTAGGTAAAGCAAAATTGGTATAATGGGACAACAATTTAATCGAAAATGTATCCACATACAACACTGCAATGGACTGAGAAAGAAAACAAATAACTACTAACATTAAGAAATCCATTTTGCTAGTTTCATTAAATCACAATGACATGCATCATCTTTGAATGTAGGCCACCAAATTGCTATTCTGAGTAATATAGAGTTGTTAAACTATAAAGTAATCTGAAAATTTGCAAAATAGTCCATACCAAAAATTTAAAAAGAACATTTGCATAACACGCCTAATATCATGAAATGCTTTATTTTCCCACCACATTCAAAAATTGAAGCTCAGTGAAACATGATTACTCTAGTCTTAGCAGCTACTCAATTTTATCAAATGCCTTCGAGTCATATGATTCACCTTATGCTACTCCCTCTTGTTCTTCACTACCTTAACTAATCGAAACATAGCTCAGAAACACATTCACGAGTTCAAATCCTGTAATATCTATAACCTCAATGTGATGCCAGCATGCCACAGTACTCCTACTGGGTTTATACCAGTGTCACAGTCACCTAATTCACTAATACCCCCACAATGGCCACAAACTACCATCCTAAACAAGCTAAATTGGTAATATAGAACACTATTCGACTAGCTTTAGAACTAAAGGTAGCGAATTGTATTCCCGTAACCATTCTACTTTGATAACAAGCTAAATCAATAATCATAACTAGTCAATCAAAATTGAAATTGCTACAATTCAATCAATATCAACAAAAATTCAATAACATTATTGGATACCTTTGGGAGCATCAGTCTCAAAGTACCTATAATTGAAATGCAAAGTTGGAGCAAACGGATTCTTCGGATGCATAACCTTTCAAAATCAAATCCAAAATTAGAAACATCGCCCACAAAATCAAAATCTCAACCTCAAAATTTCAATCAAAAATCAACAATATCAAAATCAAAATTTACCGAGCTAATTCCAGCAGCAAAGAAAGGGATAGGACCAGGTTTATGAGACCCACCATCAGCTTTAGCAGCACGATAAGCATCAGGCGGCATAACACCATAAACAACCGAAACATTAACACCAGCTTTCTCCCAAACGACGCCGTCTTGTAAAACCCTGCTTATCCCACCACCACCACCTGGTCTCGACCAAACATCTTCCTTAAACTTCCCGCCACCATCTGCAGCCTCAATCGCCTCGCAAACCTTGTCTTGTGCATCCCTTATCATCTTCTCGAACCTTCCTCGTACACTGTCCGATGACGTGGATGGGTCCCGGAGAAATGTGGGTGGGGCTTCGTTTTCTGGGGTTTCTTTCTCGATTGCCATGGCGGAAAGAGGCGGGAGTTTTCTGGAGGAGAGAGAAAGTGGTTTAGGAGTGAAATTAGAGAGAAAAATTGGAGATTTTAGAGTATTAAATGCTTGAGATTGTTGAGATTGGAGGTGGGTTTTTGTTGGGAGAGAAAATGGCGTTGAGATTAACGAAGTTGACATTGTTCGGTGAATCGCCGCCGTTGCGACGGTGGTGCACGGTGGTTACCGGCGAATCGGAGATTGGGGAGAAGATGAGAGAGAAAGTATGAAAGAAAGAGATGTTGTTTATTGATTTAAACGGTTCAAAAGCAATGTGTTGAAATTTTTTTAAGATGATGAGATGTTGTGGGCGCCCAACTGAAGCCCATGTTTTGTTATTAATTACAAATTCAAGTCCTAGTCTATGTCTTATTGACTCGAGTTATGGTATCCGTTTTATATTCGAGTATAAAATTTTACTCGTACCTACCTAGAGTCCTAGACTAGTAGACTATTACGATTTTATGAGTATGAGTATTGGAATGTGCAATTTTAGGGCGTGTCATTTTCATGTTTTAAATTATTTTATTATGTATTAATTATAATTACAATAAAATTTACTATTACTTTTACTAGACTGTTTGTATTTTGAAGTTACTGGTGTTCACTATGGAAGTATGCAGTAATTTTTTTTGTTTGTGCATTGCGTGTGTTTGTAAGGTCAAAGAGCAAAATTACTCAAAATCATACTATTCACAAGCCAAGCGAATTTTTTTAGAGGTTATATGGATAATTTATTAAAATAAAGGGAATCAAACTGTCTTAACTATTTTATTACAAATGTCTAGAATAACACCTTTATGTATATCCTGGACCACACAGTAGTTATAATTTGTCAGGATACATTAATTGAGACCAATTTATAGATTCATAAGTCACAATTTTTTATTGGCCAAACAAAGGGAAATTTAAATTTCCATTCAACCTTCTAGGAAAACTGACCACTCTATCTGCTGGCAAATAAAAGTCCTTCCCATAAATCTATGGGCATAGTTGTCAATAAATATTTTTTAAGTGTTAATATCTATAATTACATGATAATAATTAAAAATTAGAAAAGTTAAATATTCTTAATGTATGAAACAAAGTAAACAAGAATTCACATGACTATATTTTTCCTTATGTTGTACTAGTATATTGGATTAAATTAAATAAGAAGAACTTTTGGGAACAAAAGTTGACTAATAACTTATTAGTCAAAAAGTAAAAAGGTAATTAAGATACCACGTGACACAGCATTAATTAGAGACAGTCTAATAACAACTTTATTAGAGAGCCTCAAGTTCATAACGACACTTAAAAAACATAATAGAGTTATCAAAGGGAGTTTATTTCCTAAAAATTTTCATATCTACCTAAGAGGACTAGTGAATGACAACTCATATTTTATTTTTTTAATTAAAAGTAATCACCTAATTATCAATTCTATTAAATGGGGAAAAAAAGCAATATCAAGAAAGATTTTTTCCTAATTAATTTGCCAATCCTTGTTTTTTTTTATTTGCCAATCCTTGTTAGTATGTGGATGGAAGTGTGGAGCTAGTAAAGATAAATTACTAGCGTTTTTCCTTGTAGTTGGTCATTATCACACGTGCACACCAACCTTTGTTTGTTTGTGTTAATTTATTGAAATAAAACTAATTCTTCTCTCTCAATATATATGTATATCATTAATAAGTCGGTTGAAAATATGTTCTCATTTGTTTTGGGTCCGATGGTACATGCTTATTATAGTCTATCCCATCCATGCCTAAATTTACGCTAATTAGATTAAAATCTTCATTATTGTACACCTATAGTATCAAATTTAAATATATATATATATATATATATATATATATATATATATATATATATATTACAGCACAAATGAAAATCTTGTAAATGTGGAAATATGTTTAATAGGATCATCGTCAAAAACATATGTTATTCGATCCATTTTCTTTAGGCCAAATTAGAAAATAACACCTGCAAAAAGACCCGATTTTGATTATAACACCTTAACATTTCGAAATTTTATTATAACACCTACAAAAATCCCAAAATTTTAGTTTCACCACCCACTAACGGACTTTTGGATGGAAACCGTTAGTGGGACCCACTAGGGACACGTGTCAGTTGTTTATTGGCTTAAAAATAAAAATTAATAAAAATTAAAATTAAAAAAAAAAAACCCTAAACTCTAACCCAGCCACAAGCCCCACCACCGCCGACCGTCACTACACCGCCGGAGACCCCCCACTGTCGTTGGATTCCATTCCTTCTCCGGCGAAACCACCGGCCGTCACCCCCACCAACTTCAGCCCCCCCGTAAATCCACTTCCCCCTTCCTTCTCCCCGAAAAATCACCCCAACCCACCACAACCCTCCACGAAAACCACCTAGCCCCTTCGCCTCTTTCAGACCCACAACCAAACCACCGTCAACAACCGCTACAAGCACCAATCGAAATTTCGCAGGTGGTTCTCCGTCAATTTCAGGCGTCAAACCGGAAGTTGTCTTAGCCAAATTCCGGTGGTGTTGCTTCGCAAAAACCGGCTGAAATCGCTGCGAAATTCAGCAGATTCGCAGGTGGTTCTCCGTCAATTCGCAGGTGGTTGTTCGGAAGATTTCGTGGCTCAAGAAACGGGCTGAAATCCTGCAGAATCCGGTGAGTTTCGTCGGTGAAGTTCCGGCGATTTCACTGCTCAGGAAACCGTCAATTGCAAGCGTTAATCCGGAAGGTTTTTCGCTGCTCAACTTCAGGGCTGGGCTGGGCCTGGTATCGCCGGATTATGCGAGGGCAGGTGATGCCGGCGGCTGGGTAGGTGGTGCCGATGGTGGGGCTGGCTGGGTTAGGGGGTTAGGGTTTAATTTTTATTAATTTTTATTTTTAAGCCAATAAACAACTGACATGTGTCCCTAGTGGGTCCCACTAACGGTTTCCATCCAAAAGTCCGTTAGTGGGTGGTGAAACTAAAATTTTGGGATTTTTGTAGGTGTTATAATAAAATTTCGAAATGTTAAGGTGTTATAATCAAAATCGGGTCTTTTTGCAGGTGTTATTTTCTAATTTGGCCTTTTCTTTATGTTAATTTTTCTTATCTATAATTTGTTTTTTTGATTGATTCTATTATTGGTGATCAAATAAATATATATCAAGCTACATATATTGTACAAAATTCTAAGGTGTTACATGTTTTTCTTAAAAATTGACATTATTAAATTAAATGAAATCAATAATGAAAATATGGACAGACCTAGCACCATAAATAAAAACAAAGGAAGGCCAAAGTTGTAACCAACCAACAATATCTAAGTTTATAGGTAGCAATTATTTTTATAACTAATTATATAGCAATTTCATGTAATGCACTTTTTTAAATATGATAGTTTTATTTTGTCTAATTAAGTATATTATGGGTATATCAAACACTAAAGTAGACAAATTCCAATCTCATGTTTTGGACATCATGTCTCAAGAATTTTACAAACTTAGTTATACAACATTTATGTAAACCGGCAAAAAGGACGTGGTAAATTTCAAATAATGCGGTAAGTTTGAGCGCCAAATTCAAGTCTAGAATATGATTTTCTTACCATTTGTTGCTGGAAATTAGTATAGATATTGTACACAAAGTCCGAAAGATCATTGTCTTTCAAAGTCAATTGAAAATGAGATGATTATATCCTATATGCTATGTGTAACACAAGATCAGCATATATGTTTATAAAAATTCACAATACTTCACACATATTTGTAATAATATATGAAAAGTTATTGAATAAACTAGTGTAAGCTTAACTACATGTGTTTAGAAAAATTAAAAATGAATTCATAATATGAATTTTAAGTCCATCACCTTAAACATATGTAATCCAAGTTCTAGCTAAGCTAATTTTTGTTGTTGAAAAGAAAATGCTTAGAAATTTGGTAAATCCCAAACATTGATCCAAATGTGTAAATTAGCAAATTATTAATTGTTATAACAAGTTCTTATGAAGGGTGATATCCTGCAGAATAAAAAACTATATGAAGTGTTCTTAACAATCAAAGGAGATAATTAAATTTGTTAAAAAATTCAAAGTAACTATTTTATTCCATTTAATTATCATCATGAAAAAAAATTGTGAAAGCTTGCATAACATATGAATAATAGGACCATATATTCAAATTAAAATTACTTAATTATTTTTGCCTAAATGGAAAAAACACCAAAGCATTAGGTACAAAGAAAATTCCTTATATTATTAAACCAAATTTCAGTATTTAAAATCAAATCTATATTATTTATATGGAAGTAAGCAAGATATGAAGATTGATATTATAAGAAAGTATAGATACATATTTTGTTTTCCTATCATTTCTTTTTGTATGCATTATTACTAACAAATAGCATTCATGTTCTTAAAACAATAATTGTAGTAAAAATAATTTAAGTTCTATAAAAATAAGCTAATAAGCTTAGAAAAATCAGTTTTAATCAGAAAAAATCAATAACTTCAAAGAACAAATACAACAAAGAATCATTAAAAAAAAATTAATCTATAAATATAATTTAAATTCAACAAAAAATAAGTTAAATTTAATAACAATAATTTCAATTTCAATATCAATATCAATATCAATAATTTAACTTAGGTGATGTGAACAAGGCCTGAACCTTTGCATTAATTTAGAGTCCTTATCCTTGCTTAGATATTTACCATTTAACAATAAATAAATAATATAGTAAATAATATATGTCAATTAAAGGACTTTGGTCATAATATCTTAGAGTTAGTCAACATATACCCTTTTCATTTTTGTTATAAATACCCCCTTAAAAACAATGTTATATATACATGTCTTCTTTTTCTTGAAGTGTCTTTACATACACTCTCTATTAAGAGAAGACAGTCCTAATCTTTGAGTATTTTCATTTTATATAAAATAAAATAAAATTCAGGCCTCTAGTTTTTAAATCCTTTAAACACAACAAAATGAATGACTATGAAAATCCATTCAATTGTTCACCAATAGATGAGAGTGTCCCTAAAGTCCAGGTTTTGGTTATAGATGATGACCCTTCATGCTTGGATTTCTTCATGGGATTGCTCAACATGCTTAACTATCAAGGTAATGAATAAAATTATAAAAAATTTCTTCCTCTCCATTAATTTTAGCATGTATAAAAGTTTATAAACAATCTAGTTGTTTACTCTATATCATGAGTAAATTGTTTTCTAAATGCTCTAATGTAAATTCTTAAAGCTCATCAGTTTTTTACTCTAGTTGTTTACTATCAAGGGATTTTCTAGAATGAGAAATGAGAATCGATCCTAATTCATTTTTGATTTTTTACAAT